ACTGAATCAGTTAATGCAGGGAAAGTACTTAGAATTATATATAGTAGCTATTGCAGACTGAGAGAAGGTTTGTGTGTGAGACTTATTTTTTGCAATGGCAGTTGAGAAACCATTTCAGAATTTAGAGCTCAGGGCCTAAATAGGTGGTTGTCTTCTAGGTCCATCATATTTCATCATTTTTTCTTCTTCCTGCCTATAGGAGCTCTTGGTTTTAAGCTGGGCTAGAAGACCTGGGGGACACTAAATGGCATAAATAAACAAAGAAGAATCTAGAAAATGCTGCAGGGACACAGAGTTGAGGGAGGTAGGCAGTCCTGCAGGCATCTTCCTATTGTGATAAGGAGGACCTTGTTCCTCTTGGGTGAGAGGCCTGAAGTCTCACACTTCCCATCCTCCGAGTCCTGCTGATTCTGTTGTCTTTATATCTCTCACAGGAGGATAGAGTTTAAGGAAGATAGACTGTGTTTAATGCTGCTGGAAGCTTTAGTAAAAGATAATTTTGTGTAATTAATTTTATCCCAATTTTTAGTCTAATCTTTGTGTAGTTATTTGTGTATTTTGTCTTTCTCCTATTACAGTATAAGGTTCATGAGGGCAACAATTCTGACTCTTTTATATTTATTGCTTGCACATTCCCTGAACACAAACAGACACATAGCTCAACCAAAGGCATGACACTGGGGTAAGGTGCCCACCCTCTGCAATGCCAAGAGAGAATGCCCATGGACCTGCCATTGTCCTCAGCACCATCCCCAACCATGAGGCCAAGGAGAGTTGGCTACTCCTTTCCTCTAGCCACCAAAATTTACATATGACCAGGTTGCATATTTGACCAAATCAAGTTTTGCTCTGCTGATAAAAATGGGGATTGGACTGCTGAGTTACAAAAAAAAGAAGCTTCCTTTCATTTATTTATACCCTTAAGATTGTGACCTGTGAAATTTGAATCCATTACAAAATTGTTTCTGGGCCATACTGCCTCTCTTGTGAGCAATTCACTTGGTTAGTGAAAGTGAAGGCAAGCTTCCCAGAAGAGAAACCACTTGACTAACAATGTAAAAGGACAGAAATATTGGAGTGATGGTGCTCCTGAATCACTGAGTCCCTAGACAACCTGTGCAATGATGCTGATGTCTGAGCCTAAAACTTTCCTGAATGTTCTTTGAGACTGAACTTTGATTCAATGCTAACAAGACTGAGAAAGAAGATAAGCCATTTGGTATTGATGAGGGTACTGTGTTGCTCATACCTTTACGATTACTTTTTCTTGGCTAGACTATAGTTAGCTGTTTCCTTGTCTCTATCTTCAAACAGAATAATGTATGGGCCTTAGTCATCTTTGTACCTTAGTCATTTCAGACAGAGCTCTCGAAGTACATGATGAATGCTTTACTACAGGGTTGAGTACATGACAGACAGAGGGTGGTTGGGATGCTCTTCTGACACGCAGTGTCTCCTTTGACTCATTTAACCTGACTCTTAGTATGCAAATCTCTTCATGTCAAAGATTTTACATTCTCTAGAATTAAGTAGCACAAAAAAAATACGCCTTCTATTTCTTACCCTTGTGGAGCATGTTCCATTTGCATTGGTTAGGACATGGTGCTAGCTAGCTACATTTTAATCTCAACCAATGTTATAGATTCCAACCAGTTCAATTCCTGAGCTTCACAGGACAGGTGATTTGTCACGTTAGGCTTAATTATAAAATATTCTTAGATGAATATGTGTTTTGGAGAAAGATGGGCAAATTAAAATAAGTTTTCGTAGGGGTTTATTTCTGAAGGAATAAGAAAGGATTTTGGTTTAGGTGCACTGATAAAGTTGTCAATAGTTATCAGATGACAATACCCTTTCTTTTGTGTGAATATATTCTGTGGACCTCTCAGGTCTGGAGCATAGAGAGAGAGGTCCTCCCAATAATACCCTCAATATGGTCAGAACAGGCATCTTTCTTTCTTCCTGCTGGGATGAGATAGAGTCCTTTGTTTTGAAAGACCCATGGGGGAGCTATGATGGGAGTAACCATGGAGAGAGGAATGAGAATCTCAACCAATTTGCTATTTCATTCCTGAGTCTTACTGTTTTCCCCAGTGAACCTTATCAGGGGCAGAAGGTGTTGAACACTGGTATACAAGGGCAGCAGAGGACTTTTCATTGTTCAAAGTTAACTCCACGTTAACTTTATATATAATGTTGTCTTGTGATCAACACCTTCTGAGAAATCACTTGCAATCACTGATCCTCAGTTTCTACATCTACAAACTGGGGATAGCAGCATAACCCTATTTAACAGAGCCCAGACAAACCACTGAAAAGAGATGGAAACTTATCAGAATTCTCTGACCTTTTATTGTACTTATACTGGGAATTTTCTCCCAGTTTCCCATGTCTGTCATTTGTTGATATTCAAGCTTTCCACCACCTTTTTAAAAATTACCTTTCTGTAGGGCTCCATCTTCCTAGAGACTCTGGAGGTATACCATATGCTTGCCGCCATCCCAGAGCATCTATCAGTCTCTTTTCCTTCGCTAAAAGGCTGGTCCCAAGGAAAGGGACTGTGTGGCTTCTAGTCAACATGTGGTACAACCCTTGCACATTGAAGTCACCACTAGACCTTGAATTAATGCAAAGATAAATAGAAGAAATCTTACATTAAAATATGGATGTTTCCAGGGGCAGATATGGATGTTAACAGGTATTTCCCAGTGAAACCCTTAATTTCAAGGTGATGACTATAATGATAGACATTTCAGGCTGTTCATACAGCTCTCAGGAAAGAAAAGGAGTCTGGTGAGATTGTTGTGACTGGGTACATTTTATTAATGAGATGTCCACCTGCTCAGGCCAATGTCAAACTGTCCTGGCAACTTACAGGACAGAGGGTTAGAAAGAGTTGGAGAGAGTTAATTAACAGTTTTTGTAGAAGGGCTGAGAGTGAGAAAGAATAAAGAGAGGGAAGTGCACAAGCACAGCTTAAACGTCTTCTGATCTGTGGAGTTTTAAGCACTTTGAGCTTTAGCTCTTTGTTGGATTTGCGGCACACAAATACCTTCTCCCATTCTGAAGGTTGTCTCTTTGCTTTGTTGATTGTATCCTTACTTGTGCAGATTTTTAAAAACTTGATTACGTTCCTTTTATTTCTTTTTGTTGTTGCTGCAATTGCTTTTGGGTTGTTCTTCATAGATTCTTTCCCAAGACTAATGTTAATAAGAGTCTTTCTGCATTTTCTTCCAGATTTTTTATAGTTTAGTGCCTTAAGTTTAAATCTTTTCTCCATTGTGAGCTAATTTTTGTAAGTGGAGAGTGGTGTGGCTCCAGTTTCAGCCTTTTACATGTGGTTAACCAGTTCTCCCAAGACCAGTAAGTGTCATAATTATAGGCCTCCTCTTTCAGCTCCTGAGACCTACTCTTCTGCATTAGAGAATCCTCTACTCATCAAATAGCAGAAAGCCATCTGCTTAAACCCCATTGGCTACCTAACAAGGCTCAGATCATCTTTCTAGAGTGCTGGGAGCTGTGCGTGCCCAGGGCGATCTTTCTCCCCATCATTGGTGGCTATGGTGGTTGAGGTCCACCTGGTCATTGGGGCTGCTGTTCTTCTCTTCTCTCCTTTCACACTGATGGTTCCCTAACCTACAGTCTTTCCAGAAGAGGTGTCCACTTTTTGTTCAAGAACATGTCTAGCTTGCTATCTACTGTAGGATCCCCTGATGGGAAGCCTCAGGAATAATGTCATTTGGTGCAGCACAGGAAGCCTCAGAAATGATGCCGTTTGGAACAGCCATCAGCTCCATCTTGTTCAATCCTTGTCTCTCCTTAGGAGCTCTCTTGTCACATCACATCAGTCTGAACATGCAGAGATGAGCTCTGAGGTACAGCAAAGACTCGCTGTTGTATTAATAATCTAGGAAGATAGCATGGTCACCACAGAGTCAGGGAAAGGGACACACAGGGGCCAACTGTCTCACCCAGCTCAACCTCACCAGTTTCTCTGGATGCCCAGTATGTTTGAAGCACTCTGCTGTGGGCTGGGGATACAGACATAAGCAATACCAGACTGTGCCCTAACTGTGCCCTGAAGAAGCTCACCCTCTGGTGAAGAACACAGGTGTGGACACCCATGGTGGTGGCAGAGAGTAGAGGGGACAATAGCAGAACTTCAGGAGAGAATGGAATTACTCAGAGGTGGAAGGGATTACAGCTGTCTGGGAGTTTGGGGAGGGAGGACTGTAAGAGAAGGGCCTGTGTGGCTGGGTTTGAGGATGAGTAGAAGTCTTCTAGGGATTTGGGGGACAGTGAGGGCAGACAAAGATGTGTGGGTAGAGATCTATAGTTTGTAGGTATAGCTTCATTGGTCTGATTTCTATTTCTTTTCTTTTCTTTCTTTCTTTCTTTCTTTTTTTTTTTTTTTTTTGGATAAGAGTCTAACTCTGTCACCCTAGGTAGAGTGCCATGGCATTGCAGCTCATGGCAACTTAAAATTCTTGGGCTCAAGTGATCCTCTTGCCTTAGCCTTTCTTGGACTATAGGTGTGTACCACCATGTCTGCTAATTATTATATTATTAGTAGAGACAGGGTTTTGCTCTTGCTCAGACTGGTCTCAGATTCTCGAGCTTAAACGGTTCTCCTGCCTCTGCCTCCCAGAGTGCTAGGCTTACAGGTATGAGCTACTGCACTCAGTCGGGATCCCTACTATTGCAACATGAGGGCAGCCATGGAGACATGCCAGATCATAGGACATTAATTTTCAATGGCTTCATCTGAGTTTATGATAAAACCTATAAACTTTGGACATACTGATAATGCTGATTGCATTGTTTATGATTTCTTACATAATATGAACTTTAAGGAGGTCAATGTGGGAGATTTATGATTCTTTGCCAACTGTTGAGAAGGAAAGGACTCATCTGACTGCAAGTGAAGCACAGGTAGCCCTACTATTGGCTGCAGCTCTGACCCTGCCTCCTTTCTCAGCCGTTAAATCTTCTAACCAGGCTTCCTGAATTACCTCCGTGCTGGGAAGGGAAGCTCCACACACACAGCCCAGCAAAGAGCAGAACAAAGCCAAGAGAACAACTCCAAGGAGAGAACTAGAGATGGACCTTATCCCTGAATTTGCCACAGAGACCTGGGTCCTTCTGGCTACCAGCCTGGTGCTGCTGTACCTGTGAGTAACTGTCCAGGCTCCACTCCTCTGTAACCTTGAATGTGGGGTGTTAATAGAGTCCCTCTTTCTCTTACTTGTTTGGAAGATCAAGAGAGATAATTGAGAGGAAGTTGCTTAAATGTTGGGTGTAACAAAAACATAGTAGTTGTTAACCTTATGTAGATCAGTTGAAGGAATGAATAAACCTCCTTCCCATATCATCCACCTCCTATATTCTGTGACTAACAGGATTTAGGGACAGCATTTGGTCCTGGGGCTAATTTCTGATTGACCATGAGTTTGTGCCTCAACTAATGAACCAGGATTCAGCGGAAGCAGATTACAAACAGTTGGAAGTCATGTGCTTGGGATCCTCTTCCCCTTCCCAAGCTCTGGAGGTTGTAGGGGAAGGAGAGAATGGCTTGGTGACTGTCTCTTTATCTTTGCCTTTGAGCTCCATGTCTGCTGCAGGGCTTAGGATTGCGAACCCTTGTGAAGAAGGATTGTTTCCTGTGGACCTGGGTGGCTGCTGCTTCTCTGTCTTCCATTCTAGTCATAATTTACACACAGACCACCCCACATGTCACAGGAGGCTCTCATTTTGTCTTCCATGTTTCACATGCACCTCCCCTAAAACTCCCCTTCTTTATATAATTCAATTTCTTAAACCCTGTTATATGTTGAAACATTTACATTTAAATGGTGGATATTCAAAGCAATGGAGATCAGGAGGAAATTTTGAAATTTTGTTCTTTTCTTTTATCTTTTTTTCTAGTGTTTGGGGGTTAGTCTTAGTATAGAGCTTTGTTTATCACCTCATATTAATATGCAAGAGGCCTGAAGAGGTAGGGGCCACAAAATCCAATTTAGATTTTGTTAGTGTGAAGTCTTACATGAGACTAGGAGCCAATGAGGATATAAAATGCATCTGGGGAGATTCAGGATGAAATGAGAGAATATTCCTCACCCTCAGGGCCCTATCCTGAGAAATACTTGTGACCCCTTAAGGTGTGGATTGGTATCTCACTTGCCAATGCCATCTGTGTTACTAAGTTCATGGCCTATTTGGTAGTGTGGCTGTAGCTAGACATTCAGGCAGGCAGACAAACAATACCTTAGCTCTAGAAGACACTGGTGCAGCCCAGAAGTCAGTAACTGTAGTGTAGACAATGCCCTACTTACAGAAACACAATTAAACATGGTAGAAAAGATTGGGTCATATTTGCTAGCCTTTACTTGTGTCAAACAAAAGATTACTCAACTAAAAAGGGGAGAGCTAGAAAGAAACTGAGGAATTCAGGGAGTGCATCTTCTGCCTTTGTAGGGTACCATGTAAGTGTAGACACTAGACTAGATCTTTCCTCAGGAGTTGATGCTGTTACAGATTAACTTCATTGCATGGCCTGAGTTGAGAGTTCAAGTTCAGAAACAGTTATTAGTGTAATGCTTTTCCCTGGTTGTGATAACAAATGAAGGAACTGAAGTGGAAATAACCAAAGCCAACCAGGTTTGAGAGTGGTGTACAGCTTTCCACTAGTTCTTCGGGGGAGGGATCCAAATGCCCACTAGGTGTGGCTAACCTGCCTCTACTGGTCCTTCAAATATATATTCCATTATACAAGAATTTTGTTTTATTTTATCACAAATTATAGGATTAATTATACGAGTACAAAAGATAGGAAGCCCGTACTGCCTTATAGGGAAAGCTCTGAAGAAAAGGTCTTTTTTTTTTTTTT